GGACATCCACATGGAGCTCCCCTACGGGACCTCACGGACGACGAGATGCGGCGCCTCAACATCCCGTCCTGCAGGACGAGGGCTTCCTCTTCCTCTGGGTCACCGGCAGGTTGGGATCCCAAAATCCCCCAAAATCCCCTCAGGGATCCCCAAACCTCTCAACATCCCCGTCCTGCAGGACGAGGGCTTCCTCTTCCTCTGGGTCACCGGCAGGTCAGACCCCCAAAAACCCCCAAAATCCCCCTCAGGGATCCCTAAAAACCCCCAACATCCCCTCAGGAATCCCCAAAAACCCCCAAAATCCCCTCAGGGATCCCCAAAATCCCCTCAGGAATCCCAAAACCCCTCAACATCCCCGTCCTGCAGGACGAGGGCTTCCTCTTCCTCTGGGTCACCGGCAGGTCAGACCCCCAAAAACCCCCAAAATCCCTCTCAGGGATCCCTAAAAACCCTCAACATCCCCTCAGGGATCCCCAAAACCCCTCAACGTCCCCTCAGGGATCCCCAAACCCCTCAACATCCCCGTCCTGCAGGACGAGGGCTTCCTCTTTCTCTGGGTCACCGGCAGGTCAGACCCCCAAAATCCCCCTCAGGGATCCCCAAATCCCCTCAGGAATCCCCAAAAACCCCCAAAATCCCCTCAGAAATCCCCAAAAATCTCAGGGATCCCCAAAACCCCTCAACATCCCCGTCCTGCAGGACGAGGGCTTCCTCTTCCTCTGGGTCACCGGCAGGTCAGACCCCCAAAAACCCCCTCAGGGGGGATTAAATCCCCCCAACCTCCCCTTAAATCCCCCAAAACCCCCCTTAAGTCCCCCAACCCCCCTTAAATCCCCTCAAAACCCTTTAAATCCCCCAAAGCCCCCTTTAAATCCCTCAAGCCCCCTTAAATCCCCCAACCCCTCTTAAATCCCCCAAACCCCCTTAAATTCTCCCAAACCCCCTCAAATCCCCTCAAACCCCCTTAAATCCCCAACAGCCCCTAAATCCCCCAAATCCCCCTTAAATCCCCCAAACCCTCTTAAATCCCCCAAACCCCCTTAAATCCCCCAAAACCCCCTTCAAATCCTCCCAAACTCCCTTAAATCCCTTAAACCCCTTTAAACCCCCAAAACCCCCTTAAATCCCCTCAAGCCCCTCAAATTCCCCTTAAATCCCCCAAAGCCCCCTTAAATCCCCTCAAATTCCATTAAATCCCCCAATCCCCTTTTAATTCCTTCCCCCCTCAGGGCCATGGAGCTGGGCCGCGAGTGCCTCAACCTCTGGGGGTGAGTTTTGTTTTGTTTTTTCGGAACTTTGGGGGTCTTCCCCACCCCAAAACCCCCCAAAACCCCAAAAACCTGTGCCATGCCCAGGTACGAGCGGGTGGACGAGATAATCTGGGTGAAGACCAACCAGCTGCAGCGCATCATCCGCACCGGCCGCACGGGCCACTGGCTCAACCACGGCAAGGAGCACTGCCTGAGTGAGGGCAGGGGGCTTCTGGGGGATTTGGGGTCCTGGGGGGATTTGGGGTCCTGAGGGTGGTATTTGTGGGTATTTGGGGTCCTGGGGGGGATTTTTGGGGTCCTGGGGTGGGTATTTGGGGTTTTGGAGTGGTGTTTGGGGTGAGGAACCCATAGAGAGAGGTTTTGGGGGTCCTGGAGGATTTCTGGGAGTCCTGGGGTGGGTATTTGGGGTCCGGGGATTTTTGGGGTTTTGGGGGTCCTGGGGTGGGTATTTGTGGTTTTGGAGTGGGTATTTGGGGTCCTGGGAGTGGGTATTTGTGGGTATTTAGGGTCCTGAGGTGGATATTTGGGGTCTTGGGGGGATTTTTGGGGTCCTGGGTGATATTTGGGGTCCTGGGGTGGGTATTTGGGAGTGTTGGGGTGGGTATTTGGGGTCTTAGGGGCGGGTATTTGGGGGTAAGGGACCCATAGAGGGGGTTTGGGGGTCCTGGGTGGATATTTGGGGTCCTGGGGTGGGTATTTGGGGTCCTGGGGGATTTGGGGTCCTGGGGGGATTTGGGGTCCTGGGGGATTTTGGGGTCCTGGGGAGTTCTGGGGTCCTGGGGGGATTTGGGGTCCTGGGGGATTTTTGGGGTCCTGGGGGATTTGGGGTCCTGGGGTGGGTATTTGTGGGTATTTAGGGTCAAGGGGTGGGTATTGGGAGTCCTGGGGTGGGTTTTTGGGGGTGGGGGTTCCATAGAGGGGGTTTTGGAGGTCCTAGGGTGGGTATTTGGGGTCTTGGGGTGGGTATTTGGGGTCCTGGGGGATTTCTGGGGTCCTGGGGTGGGATTTTGGGGTCCTGGGGGATTTCTGGGGTGTATGGGCATCCTTGGGTGGGTTTTTGGGGGTAAGGGCCCCATGAGGGCGTTTTGGGGGTCCTGGGGGATTTTTGGGGTGTAGGGGGTCCTGGGGTGGGTTTTGGGGTGGAGGTTCCATAGAGAGAGGTTTTGGGGGTCTGGGGGATTTCTGGGGTTTTGGAGTGGGTATTTGGGGTCCTGGGGTGGGTTTTGGGGGTGGGGGTTCCATAGAGGGAGGTTTTGGGAGTGTTGGGGTGGGTATTTGGGGTCCTCTGGGGATTTGGGGTCCTGGGGGTATTTGGGGTCCTGGGGGGATTTTGGGGTCCTGGGGTGGGTATTTGGGGTCCTGGGGTGGGTATTTGGGGGTATTTGGGGTCCTGGGGTGGATATTTGGGGTCCTGGGGGGGTATTTGGGGTCCTGGGGTGGGTATTTGGGGGTATTTGGGGTCCTGGGGTGGTTTTTGGGGTGTCAGGATTCTATAAAGGGGTTTTTTTGGGGGCTCAGGGGGATCCTGGGGTGGGTTTTGGGGTGTCAGGATTCCATAAAAAAGATTTTGGGGGGCTCAGGGGGGTCCTGGGGTGGGGTTTTGGGGTGTCAGGATTCCATAAAGGGGTTTTTTGGGGGGTTCTGGGGGTCCTGGGGTGGTTTTTGGGGTCCCAACCCCCCCCCCAAAATTTGCTCTTCTCGCAGGTGGGGGTGAAGGGGAACCCCCAAGGCTTCAACCGGGGCCTGGACTGCGACGTCATCGTGGCCGAGGTGAGGGAAAAATGAGGGAATTATCCAGGAAATGAGGGAATTACCTCAGGAAATGGCAGGAAATGAGGGAAACACTTTAAAAAATGGTGTAAAATTGAGGGAATCACCTCAGAAAATGGCGGGAAATGAGAGAATCACCCCAGGAAATGAGGGAATCTGGTCCAAAAACGTCAGGAAATGAGGGAATCCCCTCAGGAAATGGCGGGAAATGAGGGAATTACCTCAGAAAATGGCAGGAAATGAGGGAATCACCTTGGGAAATGAGCAAATCCACTCCAAAAATGGTGGGAAATGAAGGAATTACCTCAAAAAACGTGTAAAATTGAGGGAATCACCTCAGGAAATGGTGGGAAACAAGGGAATCCCCTCAGGAAATGAGGGAATCAGCTCAGGAAATGGCGGGAAATGAGGGAATCACTTTAAAAAATGGTGTAAAATTGAGGAAATTACCTCAGGAAATGGCGGGAAATTAAGAAGTCCACTGAGAAAATGGAGGGAAATTGAGGGAATGACCTCAGGAAATGGCGGGAAATGAGGGAATCCCCTCGGGAAATGGCAGGAAATTGAAGGAATCACCTCGGGAAATGGCGGGAAATAAGGGAATCATCTCAGGAAATGATGGGAAATGAGGGAATCAGTTTAAAAAATGGTGTAAAATTGAGGGAATTACTTCAGAAAATGATGGGAAATGAGAGAATTACCTCAGAAAAAGACGGGAAATGAGGGAATGACCTCAGAAAATGGCGGGAAATGAGGGAATCACTTCAGGAAATGGCGGGAAATGAGGGAATCACCCCAGGAAATGAGAGAATCCACTCTAAAAACATCGGGAAATGAGAGAATCCCCTCAGGAAATGAGGGAATCTGCTCAGAAAATGATGGGAAATGAGGGGAATCACCTCAGGAAATGGTGTAAAACTGAGGGAATCGCCTCAGAAAATGGCGGGAAATGAAGAAGTCCACTGAGAAAATGGCGGGAAATTGAGGCAATGACCTCAGAAAATGGCGGGAAACGAGGGAATCCCCTCAGGAAATGAGGGAATCAGCTCAGAAAATGATGGGAAATGAGGGAATACCCTAAAAAAAAACGCGGGGAAATGAGGGAACCCCGCTCCGAACGCCCCAGGTGCGCTCGACGAGCCACAAGCCCGACGAGATCTACGGGATGATCGAGCGGCTCTCGCCCGGCACGCGCAAGATCGAGCTCTTCGGCCGCCCCCACAACGTCCAGCCCAACTGGTAACCCCTTCCCCACCCCAAAATTAAGAATATTCCCACTTTCTGATGGAATTCCAGGGTGATTTTTGGGGGGGATTATTGCAGGATCACGCTGGGGAACCAGCTGGACGGGATCCACCTGCTGGACCCCGACGTGGTGGCGCAGTTCAAGCAGCACTACCCCGACGGCATCATCTCCAAGCCCAAAAACATGTGAATTATTCCCACTTTTTTATGGAATAAACGGAAAAAAGGAGGTGGATTTTGGTGTGTTGGGGTTGGGGGGGTGAGAGGAGGTAAAAGGGTTTTGTTTCATCCTGAAAAAAAACAGGTAAATTGGTTTTTTTAAGGATTTTTTGGGGGTTAAAAGGGATTTTTTGAGGGGTTTCAAGGGGTTTTTTGGGGGTTTAAAGGGGATTTTTTGGGGGTTTCAAGGGGGTTTTTTGGGAGTTTAAAGGGGATTTTTGGGGGTTTCAAGGGGTTTTTTGGGAATTTAAAAGGGATTTTTTGGGGAGTTTCAAGGGGGTTTTTTTGGGAGTTTAAAGGGGATTTTTTGGGGCTTTCAAGGTGAATTTTTTTTGAGGTTGGAAGGTGATTTTAATGAGGGTTTAAAAGGAATTTTTTGGGGGTTTCAAGGGGTTTTTTTGGGGGGTTTAAAGGGGATTTTTTGGTGGGTTTCAAGGTGAATTTTAAAAGGAATTTTTTAGGTTTAAAGGGAATTTTTTTGAGGTTGGAAAGTGATTTTAAAAGGAGGATTTAAAGGGGAGTTTTTGGGGGTTTAAAGGGGAATTTTTAAGGTTTAAAGGAGATTTTTTTTGAGGTTTAAAGGAGATTTTAAAAGCAGCGTTTAAAGGGAATTTTTTGGGGTTTCAAAGAGATTTCTTAGGATTTTAAAGGGGATTTTTTTGAGATTTAAAGGGAATTTCTTTTGAGGTTGGAAGGTGATTTTAATGAGGGTTTAAAGGGGATTTTTTGGGGTTCAAAGGGGATTTTTTGGCGGGAGCAGGAGGATGGGGAGAGAACACTTGACCCCGTTTTCAGGGGGAACCCCCAAAATGTGTCATAAAACCCCTAAAATGTGTCATAAACCCCCTAAAATGTGTCATAAACCCCCTAAAATGTGTCACAAACCCCCAAACCGTGCCCTAAACCCCTGAAACGACCCCAAAAATGCCCCTTTTTAATTAAAAAAAAAAAAAGTCTGCACCGATCGACCCCTTTTAATTCCAAACCCAAAACGAGCACAGAGAACCCCCCAAAAAAACCCCCCCACCAAGAACCACCCCCAAAATCCCACCCCCCAAATCCGCTGTGAGACCCCAAAATCTGCTGTGAGACCCCAAAATCTGCTAAGGGGAACCCCAAAATCTGCCGGGGGGATCCCAAAATCCGCTGGGGGAGACCCCAAAATCATTTGCGGGACCCCAAAATCTGCTGTGAGACCCCAAAATCCGCTGGGGGGGGACCCCAAAATCCTTTGGGAGACCCTGAAATCTGCTGGGGGGGGACCCCAAAATCCTTTGGGAGACCCCGAAATCTGCTGGGGGGGACCCCAAAGTTCTTTAGGGGACCCCAAAATCCTTTGGGGGACCCCGAAATCTGCTGGGGGGGACCCCAAAATTCTTTGGGGGACCCCAAAATCTGCTGGGGGGGACCCCAAAATCATTTGGGGGACCCCAAAATCCGTTGTGAGACCCCAAAATTTGCCGGGGGGGGACCCCAAAATTTTTTAGGGGACCCTGAAATCTGCTAAGGGGAACCCCAAAATCTGCTGGGGGACCCTGAAATTTGCTGGGAGGGACCCTGAAATCATTTGGGGGACCCCAAAATTTGCCAGGGGGGACCCCAAAATCATTTGGGGGACCCCAAAATCTGCTGTGAGACCCCAAAATCTGCCAGGGGGAGACTCCAAAATCCTTTGGGGGACCCCAAAATCCGCTGTGAGACCCCAAAATCTGCCAGGGGGGGACCCTGAAATCCTTTGGGGGACCCCAAAATTCTTTAAGGGACCCCAAAATCATCTGGGGGACCCCAAAATCTGCTAAGGGAAACCCCGAAATCCTTTGGTGGACCCCGAAATCCGCTGGGGGGGGACCCCAAAATTCTTTGTGAGACCCCAAAATCTGCTGGGGGGGACCCCAAAATTCTTTGGGGGGTCCCGAAATCCACTGGGGGGGAACCCAAAATCATTTGGGGGACCCCAAAATCCGCTGGGGGGGACCCTGAAATTTTTTAGGGGACCCCGAAATCTGCTTGGGGGGACCCCAAAATCATTTGGGGGACCCCAAAATCCTTTGGGGGACCCCAAAATTCTTTGGGGAACCCCAAAATCTGCTGGGAGGGGACCCCGAAATTCTTTGGGGGACCCCGAAATCCGCTGGGAGGGACCCTAAAATCATTTGGGGGACCCCGAAATTCTTCGGGGGACCCTGAAATCTGCTGGGGGGGACCCCAAAATCCTTTGGGGGACCCCAAAATCCGCTGGGGGGGACCCCAAAATCCTTTGGGGGACCCCGAAATCTGCTGGGGGGGGACCCCAAAATTCTTTGGGGGGTCCCGAAATCCACTGGGGGGGAACCCAAAATCATTTGGGGGACCCCAAAATCCGCTGGGGGGGACCCCAAAATCATCTGGGGGACCCCAAAATCCGCTAAGGGGGGGACCCCAAAATCCTTTGGGGGACCCCGAAATCCGTTGTGAGACCCCGAAATCTGCCAGGGGGGGACCCCAAAATCCTTTGGGGGACCCCGAAATCCTTTGGGGGACCCCGAAATCCTTCGGGGGGCCCCCTGAAACCCCGGCTGTGCCGGGGGTCACTTGACGAAGACGACGCTGTTGCCGGCGTTGCGGGCGGCGAGCCAGGCCAGGAAGACGTCCCTAAAAGGAAACAACCCCAAGAAACAACCCCAAAAATTGGGAATTGGGAGAGGGAAAGGGCCGGGGGTGGGGTCAGGAGAGGATTTGGAGAGGGGATGCACCATCAGTACCTGACAAAGACCCTAAAAAGACCCCAAAAACACCTCAAAAAGCCCCCAAAAGACCCCCAAAAGGACCCCAAAAAGGACTCTACAAATACCCCAAAAAGCCCCCAGAAGACCCCCAAAAGACCCCTAAAAGGACCCCAGAAACACCCCAAAAAGAACCCAAAAGGACCCCAGAAAAACCCCAAAAGACCCCCAAAAGGACCCCAAAACCCCCAAAAAGCCCAAAAGAAAGACCCAAAAGCCCCCAAAAGGACCCCAAAAGCCCCAAAAACACCCCAAAAGCCCCAAAACAACCCCAAAAGAACCCCCAAAAAGCCCCTAAAAGGACCTTAAAAAGACCCCAAAAGAAAACCCCCAAAAAGCCCCCAAAAACACCCTAAAACTACCCTGAAAACAACCCAAAAAGACCCCAAAAAAACACCCTAAAAACACCCCAAAAACACCCCAAAAAACACCTTAAATAAACCCAAAAAAGACCCCCAAAACCCCCAAAAAGCCCCCTAAAAAGCAGGGATTTGGGACAGGCACCCACCGGCAGTGCCTGACAAACACCGCAAAAACACCCCAAAAAACACCCTAAAAACACCCCAAAAGGACCCCAAAAAGACCCCAAAAAGACCTCAAAAGAAAGACCCCAAAAAGCCCCCAAAAGAACTCCAGAAAAACCCCCCAAAAAACCCAAAAGAAACCCCAAAAAGCCCCCAAAACAACCCCAAAAGAACCCCCAAAAAGACCCCAAAAGGACCTGAAAAAAACCCCAAAAGAAAGCCCCAAAAAAACACTCTAAAAACACCCTGAAAACAACCCAAAAAGACCCCGGAAAAACCCCAAAAACACCCCAAAAAACCCCCAAAAGACCTCAAAAAACACCCTAAAAACACCCCAAAAACCCCCAAAAACCCTAAAAAAACCCCAAAAAACACCCCCAAAAAACCCCAAAAAGCCCCAAAAAAGCCCCCAAAAGAACCCCAAAAGGACCCCCAAAAGACCCCAAACGGACCCCGGAAAAACCCCTAAAACCAGCCCAAAGACACCCCAAAAAACACCCCAAAACCACCCTAAAAACACCCCAAAAAGCCCCCAAAAAGCCCCCAAAAGGACCCCAGAAAATCCCCCAAAAAACACCCTAAGAACACCCCAAAAAACACCCTAAAAACACCCCAAAAAGCCCCCCAAAAAACACCCCAAAAAGACCCCAAAAAACACCATAAAAACACCCCAAAAAGACCCCAAAAAACACCCTAAAAAGACCCCAAAAAAAGACCCCAAAAAAACCCCAAAGAAAGACCCCAAAAAAACCCCAAAGACCCCAAAAAACCCCAATAGAAAGACCCCAAAAAGATCTCAAAACACCCCAAAAGGACCCCAGAAAAACCCCCAAAACCAGCCCAAAGACACCCCAAAAAACACCCTAAACACAACCTAAAAACACCCCAAAAAGCCCCCCAAAAAACACCCCAAAAAGACCCCAAAAAACAACAAAAACACCCCAAAAAGACCCCAAAAAACACCCTAAAAAGACCCCAAAAAAAGACCCCAAAAAAACCCCAAAGAAAGACCCCAAAAAACCCAAAGACCCCAAAAAACCCCAATAGAAAGACCCCAAAAAGATCTCAAAACACCCCAAAAGGACCCCAGAAAAACCCCCAAAACCAGCCCAAAGACACCCCAAAAACACCCTAAACACAACCTAAAAACACCCCAAAAGCCCCCCAAAAAACACCCCAAAAAGACCCCCAAAAAACAACAAAAAAACCCCAAAAGAAAGACCCCGAAAAACACCCCAAAAAACACTCCAAAAAGACCCCCAAAAAACACCCTAAAAACACCCTAAAAACACCCCAAAAAGACCCTTAAAAAGACCCCAAAGAACAACCTAAAAACACTCTAAAAAACCCCAAAAACCCCCAAAAACCCCAAAAAACCCCCCAAAACCACCCCAAAAGCAATGATTTGTGACAAGTACCCACCGGCAATGCCTGACGACGCACCCCAAAAACACCCCAAAAAGACCCCAAAAGCCCCCCAAAAACACCCTAAAAACACCCCAAAAAAACCCCCCAAAAATCCCCAAAATACCCCAAAAACCACCCTAAAAACAGCCCAAAAAAAACCCCAAAAACCCCCAAAAAGACCCCAAAAAAGCCTCCAAAAGGACCCCAAAAGGACTTTAAAAAGACCCCCAAAAGACCCCCAAAGACCCCAAAAGGACTCCCTAAAGGACCCCAGAAAACCTCAAAAAAAGACCCAAAAAGCCCCCAAAAGCCCCCAAAAAGACCTTAAAGAGACCTCAAAAGAACCCCAGAAAAACCCCCAAAAAACCCCAAAAGAAAGCCCCCAAAAGAACCCCAAAAGGACCCCAAAAGACCTCAAAAAGAACCCCAACAAAACCGCAAAGGACCCCAAAAAGAAAGCCCCCAAAAAGATCCCAAAACACCCCAAAAAACCCCCCAAAAAGCCCCCAAAAGAATCCCAGAAAAAAACCAAAAAACCCCCAAAAGAAAGACCCCAAAAAGACCCCCAAAAACACCCTAAAAAACCCCAAAAACACCCCAAAAGAAAGACCCCAAAAAGACCCCAAAAAGACCTCCAAAAGGACCCAAAAAAGCAGGATTTGAGATACACAAACACCCTAAAAAGACCCCAAAGAACAACCTAAAAACACCTGAAAAAACCCCCCCCAAAAAAACCCAAAAAACACCCCAAAAGCCACCCTAAAAACACCCCAAAAAACCCCAAAAAGCCCCAAAACCCCCCAAAATCCCCCCAAAATCAGTGATTTGTGGTGATCAGCCACCCACCGGCAGTGCCTGACGACGCAGTCGCTGCTGCAGAACTCGAGGTCCCAGTCGGGGCTGGGCACGGGGGCGTTGGCGCAGCCGGCGCGGACGCAGCGGCACCGGGGGGACCCCGCACGGCCCGGGGACCCCCCCAGCACCTCCACACCGGGGGGGGAATCCACCTGACGGCAGAAATCACGAATTTCGGGGTTGGAGAGGGATAAAGTTGACAAAAATGTTCATTTTTGGGGATGGAATTGGCAGAAATGTCGATTTTTGGGGTCGAAACTGCGTGAAAATTTCAATTTTTGGGGCTGAAATTAACGGGGATTCTGATTTTTGGGGATGGAATTGATGGGGATTCTGATTTTTGGGGCTGAACCTGTGTGGAAATTTCAATTTTTGAGGTTGAAATTACCAGGAATTCTGATTTTTGGGATTGAAATGGAGCCCAGAATTCCCAGTTTTGAGGTTGGAAAGAGCAGAAGTTGCCAGAAATGTCGATTTTTGGGGTTGAAATTGGCAGAAATGTCGATTTTTGGGGATGGAATTGACAGGGATTCCGATTTTTGGGGTCGGAATTGACAAAAATTCTGATTTTTGGGGCTGAAATTCACAGGAATTCTGATTTTTAGGGCCGAAAGTGTGTGGAAATTTCAATTTTTGGGGTTGAAATTGACTGGAATTCTGATTTTTGGGGCTGAAATGGAACACGGAATTCCCAGTTCTGGTGTTGGAAAGGGCTGAAGTTGACGGAAATGTCAATTTTTGGGGATGGAATTGGCGAAAATTTCGATTTTTGGGGATGGAATTGATGGGGATTCCGAGTTTTGGGGCTGAAGTTGATGGGAATTCTGATTTTTTGGGGTTGAAATTGACGGGGATTCTGAGTTTTGGGCATGGAGTTGACAGGGATTGCGATTTTTGGGGCTGAAATTGACAGGGATTCCGATTTTTTTGGGGATGGAATTGACAGGGATTCCGATTTTTGGGGTTGGAATTGACAGGAATTCTGATTTTTGGGGTCGAAACTGTGTGGAAATTTCAATTTTTGGGGCCGAAATTGACAGGGATTCCGAGTTTTGGGGCTGAAGTTGATGGGAATTCTGATTTTTGGGGCCAAAATTGACGGGGAATTCCGATTTTTGGGGTTGAAATGGAGCCTGGAATTACAAATTTTGGGGTTGGAAAGGGTTGAAATTGATGGGGATTCTGATTTTTGGGGCTGAAATTGACGGAAATTCTGATTTTTGGGGCTGAAATTGACGGGGATTCTGATTTTTGGGGCCGGAATTGGCAAGAATTCTGATTTTTGGGGCTGAAATTGACGGGAATTCTGATTCTTGGGGTCAAGATTGACGGGAATTCTGATTCTTGGGGCCGAAACTGCGTGGAAATTTTGATTTTTGGGGCTGAAATGGAACCCAGAATTACAAATTTTGGGACTGGAAAAGGTTGAAATTGACAGGAATTCTGATTTTTGGGGCTGAATTTACCTGGAATTCTGATTTTTGGGGCTGAAATGTCCCTCTTTGAACCCCCCAAACCCCTCAATGTCCCCCCAAACCCCTCAATGTCCCCCCCAAACCCCTCAATGTCCCCCCCAAACCCCTCAATGTCCCCCTTTAACCCCTCAATGTCCCCTTTAACCCCTCAATGTCCCCCCAAACCCCTCAATGTCCCCTTTAACCCCTCAATGTCCCCCCCAAACCCTCAATGTCCCCCCAAATCCCCCTTTAACCCTCCAAGCCCCCCTTGCTGCCCCCTCACCTCGGGCACGACGTCCCCCCCATCTCCACGTCCCCTCGTGGTTCTGGGGTGGGGGGTCGCTCTGAGGGGCGGGGCTGCCCGGCTGGGGGGGTGGGAGTGGGCACAGGGGGTGGGAGGGGTGGGGGCACAGAGGGGGCACAGGGGGGCGAGGTGCAGGGACTGGATCTGCAGGGGGCAGGATCTTGATCTGCAGCGGGGGGTTCTGGGGGCCGCAGCTAGGGGGCCTGCATGGCCTGCAGGGGCGGGGGGGCCTCAGCACGGCCAGCTGGGGAGGGGCGGGGAGGGGCATCTGCTGCAGGGGGGCTGCAGGCGGGGCAGGGGCTGCGTTGCCAAAGCCGCGCGGGCCGGGGCCACGTTGGGACCACCGGAACCCCCGGGGGCAGACCACGGCCGCTGGGATGACGGCCACCACCCCTCCCCACCCCCACCCCCGGGTGCCGCCCCTCCCCACCGGGCGGGGGGGCAGCAGAGTTTTGGGGATGAGGATTTTGGTGATGGGGGTGGGGGTTGGGGTGGGGTTGGGGTGGGGGAGGGGAGGAGGGTGGCGGTGCTGGTGGGAGGGGAGGGGGTGATGATGAGGAGGAAGAGGTGGGGGTTGTTGGGGGAGGGGGTGGGGCTGGGCTCCGGCTCGGGGGCTCCGGCGACGTCTGAAAGGCAGCACAAAAAAAAAAAAAAAAGCAAGAGAATTAACCCCAAAGCGGAGGCCACGCCCACTTTGGGCACCCCTCCCCCAAATTTGGGACCTTCCCCAGGATTTTAGGCCCCTCCCCATGATTTTGGACCCCTCCCAACCAATTAGGCCCCTCCCCCAATTTTAAGCCCCTCCCCCAATTTTAGGCCCCTCCCTGTGATTTAGGCCCCTCCCCTGATTTTAGGCCCTCCCCAATTTTAGGCCCCTCCCCATGATTTTAGACTCCTCCCTCCCAAATTAGACCCCTCCCCATAATTTTAACCCCCACACGATTTTTAGACCCCTCCATGATTTTGGACCTCCCCCATAATTTAAGACCCCCATGATTTTAGGTCCCCCATGATTTTAGGAATTTTAGGACCCCCATAATTTTAGGACCCCCTCCATGATTTTGAGACCCCCCATGATTTTAGGAACCCCCTTAATTTAGGACCCCCTTAATTTAGGACCCCCCTAATTTAAGACCATCCCCATTATTTTAGGCCCCCATAATTTTAGGACCCCCATAATTTTAGACCACCCCCATAATTTAAGAACCTCCTCATGATTTTAGGACCCCCCCATGATTTTAAGACCCCCATAATTTTAGGACCCCCTCATTATTTTAGACTCCCCCATGATTTTAAGACCCCCATAATTTTAGACCCCTCCCGTGATTTTAAGACCCCCAATGATTTTAGGACCCCCTGATGATTTTAGGGACCCTCCCATGACTCAGCTCCCCCAATAATTTAGGACCCCCATAATTTAAGACCCCCATGACGATTTTAGAAACCTCCCATAATTTTAGGACCCCCCATGATTTTAGGACCCCTGATGATTTTAGGACCCCCTTTGATTTTAGGAACACCCTCATGACTCAGCCCCCTCACCCTCAATAATTTATGACCCCCCATAATTTTAGACCCCTCCCCATGATTTTAAGACCTCCATAATTTAGGACCCCCATAATTTTACAAGCCCCCATGATTTTAGGACCCCCATAACTAAGCCACCCCCATAATTTAGGATCCCCTCATGATTTTAGGACCACTCTCCATGATTTTAGGAATTTTAGGACCCCCCCCCATAATTTTAGGAGCTCTACCATAATTTTAGGAACCCCCCCCATGATTTTAAGAGCAACCCATAATTTTAGGAACCCCCCCAATATTTTGAAGCCCCCCCCTCTGATTTTGGGGGGTGTTTTGGGTACCAGGGTGGCCCGATAGGCCGTCAGCGCCTTCAGATATTCCTTCTTGGCCGCCTCCGTCTTGCGCTTGTAAACCTGCGGATTTGGGGACAAAAACGGGGATTTTGGGAAAGTTCTGGAACCAGGGGGGTCACCCACGAGGTTTTGGGGGGGTCTGAGGTCCGGGGGGGGGGATTTGGGACCCCCCAGCTCCAGTTTTGGGGTGTCCGTGCCCGTCGGCGTCGCTCGAGCTCCGGCCCTGAAATCTCAGGGGTTTTCCCCCCAAATTAATTAATTTTTCCCCCCCAAATTTGGGGGTTTCCACCCCAATTAATTAATTTTTCCCCCTAATTTGGGGGTTTTCCCCAAAGTTGAGGTTCCTGCTCCCTGGGTCTTTAATTCCTGGTGGGTTTTGGGGTCTCCACTCTCTTCCCTTCTTGACTCACAAGGTTGACCCTTCTTAACCTTTGACTTTCTCAACCTTAACCTTCCTCAACCTTGACCTTCTCCAACATTTGATCTTCTCAACCTTGATCTTCTCCACTTCAAACTTCTCAACCTTGATCTTCTCAACCTTGACCTTCAACAACCTTGACCTTCAACCTTGATCTTCTCCACCTCAACCTTCTCAATCTTGATCTCCTCAACCTTGACCTTCAACAACCTTGACCTTCAACCTTGATCTTCTCCACCTCAACCTTCTCAACCTCGATCTTTTCCAACCTCTGACCTTCAACAACCTTGACCTTCAACCTTGACCTTCTCCACCTCGACCCTCAACCTTGATCTTCTCAACCTTGATCTTCTTCACCTCAACCTTCAATCTTGATCTTCTCCAACCTTTGACCTTCAACCTTGACCTTCTCCAACCTTTGACCTTCAACCTTGACCTTCAACAACCTTGACCTTCAACCTTGACCTTCTCCACCTCAACCTTCTCAATCTTGATCTCCTCAACCTTGACCTTCAACCTTGACCATCTCCCCCCATGCCCCTCCCCTAAATCTCCTCTCCATCATCCCACACTGCTTCTGCTCCTCCCCAGCGGAGTCCCACATGGAGGCGACGATCTTGGAGACCCTCCCCAGTTCTCCTCCCATCATCCCCACCTGCTTGCTCCTCCCCAGCGAGTCCCACATGGAGGCGTACGATCTTGGAGACCCCTCTCCAAATCTCTCCCCATCATCCCCACCTGCTTCTGCTCCTCCCCCAGCGAAGTCCCACATGAGGCTAACGATCTTGGAGACCCCTCCCCAAATTTCCCCCATCATCCCACCTGCTCTGCTCCTCCCCAGCGAAGTCCCACACATGGAGGCGGACGATCTTGAGACCCCTCCCCAAATTTCCCCCCCCATCATCCCCACCTGCTTCTGCTCCTCCCCCAGCGAGTCCCACATGGAGGCGACGATCTTGGAGACCCCTCCCAAATTCTCCCATCATCCCCACCTGCTTCTGCTCCTCCCCCAGCGAGTCCCACATGGAGGCGACGATCTTGGAGACCCCTCCCCAAATTTCCCCTCCCATCATCCCCACCTGCTTCTGCTCCTCCCCCAGCGAGTCCCACATGGAGGCGACGATCTTGGAGACCCACTCCCCAATTTCCCCTCATCATCCCCACCTGCTTCTGCTCCTCCCCAGCGAGTCCCACATGAGGCGACGATCTTGAGACCCTCCCCCAAATTTCCCCCCCCATCATCCCCACCTGCTTCTGCTCCTCCCCCAGCGAGTCCCACATGGAGGCGACGATCTTGGAGACCCCTCCCCAAATTTCCCCCCCCATCATCCCCACCTGCTTCTGCTCCTCCCCCAGCGAGTCCCACATGGAGGCGACGATCTTGGAGACCCTCCCCAAATTTCCCCCCCATCATCCCCACCTGCTTCTGCTCCTCCCCAGCGAGTCCCACATGGAGGCGACGATCTTGGAGACCCCTCCCCAACTCTCCCCCATCATCCCCACCTGCTGCTGCCTCCCCAGCGGAGTCCCACATGGAGGCGACGATCTTGAGAGCCCCTCCCAAATTTCCCCTCCCCCATCATCCCCACCTGCTTCTGCTCCTCCCCAGCGAGTCCCACATGGAGGCGACGATCTTGGAGACCCCTCCCAAGCTTCCCCTCCCATCATCCCCCACCTGCTTCTGCTCCTCCCCAGCGAGTCCCACATGGAGGCGACTGATCTTGGAGACCCTCCCCAATCTCCCCTCCATCATCCCCACCTGCTTCTGCTCCTCCCCAGCGAGTCCCACATGGAGCGACTTGCATCTTGAGACCCTCCCCAACTTCCCCATCATCCCCACCTGCTTCTGCTCCTCCCCCAGCGAGTCCCACATGGAGGCGGCGATCTTGGAGACCCCTCCCCAAGTTCTCCCTCCCATCATCCCCACCTGCTTCTGCTCCTCCCCAGCGAGTCCCACATGGAGGCGGCTGATCTTGGAGACCCCTCCCAAATTCCCCTCCCATCATCCCCACCTGCTTCTGCTCCTCCCCAGCGAGTCCCACATGGAGGTGACGATCTTGGAGACCCCTCCCCAAATTTCCCCCATCATCCCCACCTGCTTCTGCTCCTCCCCAGCGAGTCCCACATGGAGGCGACGATCTTGGAGACCCTCCCCAAATTTCCCCCATCATCCCCACCTGCTTCTGCTCCTCCCCAGCGAGTCCCACATGGAGGCGACGATCTTGGAGACCCTCCCCAACTTTCCCCCATCATCCCCACCTGCTTCTGCTCCTCCCCCAGCGAGTCCCACATGGAGGCGACGATCTTGGAGACCCTCCCAAATTTCCTCCCCCATCATCCCCACCTGCTTCTGCTCCTCCCCAGCGAGTCCCACATGGAGGCGACGATCTTGGAGACCCCTCCCCAAATTTCCCCCCATCATCCCCACCTGCTTCTGCTCCTCCCCAGCGAGTCCCACATGGAGGCGACGATCTTGGAGACCCTCCCCAAATTTCCCCCATCCTCCCCACCTGCTTCTGCTCCTCCCCAGCGAGTCCCACATGGAGGCGACGATCTTGGAGACCCTCCCCAAATTTCCCCCCATCATCCCCACCTGCTTCTGCTCCTCCCCAGCGAGTCCCACATGGAGGCGACTGATCTTGGAGACCCTCCCCAAATTTCCCCTCCCATCATCCCCACCTGCTTCTGCTCCTCCCCAGCGAGTCCCACATGGAGGCGACGATCTTGGAGACCCCTCCCCAAATTTCCCCCATCATCCCCACCTGCTTCTGCTCCTCCCCAGCGAGTCCCACATGGAGGCGAACGATCTTGGAGACCCCTCCCAAGTTCCTCTCCCATCATCCCCACCTGCTTCTGCTCCTCCCCAGCGAGTCCCACATGGAGGCGTACTGATCTTGGAGACCCCTCCCAAATTCCCCTCCCATCATCCCCACCTGCTTCTGCTCCTCCCCAGCGAGTCCCACATGGAGCGACGATCTTGGAGACCCTCCCCAACTTCTCCCATCATCCCCACCTGCTCTGCTCCTCCCCAGCGGAGTCCCACATGGAGGCGACGATCTTGGAGACCCCTCCCCAAATTTCCCTCCCATCATCCCCACCTAGCTTCTGCTCCTCCCCAGCGAGTCCACATGGAGGCGACTGATCTTGGAGACCCCTCCCCAAATTTCCTCCCATCATCCCCACCTGCTTCTGCTCCTCCCCCAGCGAGTCCCACATGGAGGCGACTGATCTTGGAGACCCTCCTCAAATTTCCCCTCCCCCATCATCCCCACCTGCTTCTGCTCCTCCCCAGCGAGTCCCACATGGAGGCGACGATCTTGGAGACTCCTCCTCAAATTTCCTCCCATCATCCCCACCTGCTTCTGCTCCTCCCCAGCGGAGTCCCACATGGAGGCTGACGATCTTGGAGACCTCGCCGAAGGTGGCGTTGGGGTTCTGGCCCTTGATGGCTGCCTGGGTGTCCCTGAAGAAGAGGGCGTAGGCCGACACCGGCTTCTGCGGCTCGTTGGGGTCCTTCTTCTTCTTCCGCCTTCTTGGGGGCTGGGCGCCGCGCCGGCTCCGCGGGGAGGGCGGCGCCGCCGCCGCCGCGGGGAGGGGCCGGCAGGGGCGGGGACGGTGGCGCGGCGGCCGTGGGGGCTGTGGGAGAGATCATACATTAAACATGTTAATTATGGGGAGAGGGAGAACAGGTGATTAATTAACCATGTTAATTATGGGGAGGAGGAGGAACAGGTGATTAATTAACCACATTAATTATGGGGGCTGTGGGGACAAGTGATTAATTAACCCTGTTAATTATGGGGGAGGGAAAGACAGGTGATTAGTTAACCACATTAATTATGGGGGGCTGTGGGGACAAGTGATTAATTAACCATGTTAATTATCGGGAGGAGTCGGTGATGGGGCGGCGGTCGCAGGGGGCTGTGGGGAGGAGGAAAAGTGATTAATTAACCATGTTAATTACAAGGGCGGGACGGCGACCACAGGGGCTGTAAGGATAGATGATTAATTAACCATGTTAATTATGGGGAGGGGCTGGGAGGGTGGGGATGGTGATGGGGCGGCGGCGCGGGGGCTGTGGGGAGGAAAAGTGACTAATTAACCACATTAAGTATGGGGAGGGGCCGGCAGGGGCGGGGACGGCGGCGGGCGGTGGCCGTGGGGAGCTGTGGGGACAAGTGATTAATTAACCATGTTAATTATGGGGAGAGGCTAGGAGAGGTGGGGATGGTGATGGGCGGCGGCCGCGAGGGCTGTGGGGACAAGTGATTATTAACCATGTTAATTATGGGGAGAGGCTGGGAGGGTAAGGGATGGTGATGAAGGCGGTGGCCATGAGGGCTGTGGAGATAGATCATTAATTAACCACGTTAATTATGGAGGAGGGGAGGAACAGGTGATTAATTAACCATGTTAATTATGGGGAGGGGCTGGGAGGGAGTGGGGATGGTGATGGAGGCGGCGGCCGCGGGGGCTGTGGGGATAGATGATTAATTAACCATGTTAATTATGGGGGAGGGGCTGGGAGGGGAGGGGATGGTGATGGGGCGGCGGCCGCGGGGGGCTGTGGGGGATAGATGATTAATTAACCATGTTAATTATGGGGGGGCTGTGGGGGAGGGACAGCTGATTAATTAGCCATGTTAATTATGAGGGGGGAGAGGAGAGACAACTGATTAACCACGTTAGTTATGGGGAGGGAGGCTGTGGGGCGATTTCGGGGTAACTGGGGGGTGGTTTTGGGGTAATTTAGGGTGATTTTGGGGTAAGTGGGGGGGGGTTGGGATAATTTGGGGCGAATTTGGTGGTAATTTGGGTTGATTTTGGGGTAACTGGGATTGATTTTGGGGTAATCTGGGTTAATTTTAGGGAAATTTGGGGAGATTTTGGAGTAATTTGGGGTGATTTTGGGGGTAATTTGGGGGTAATTTGGGTTGATTCTGGGGTAATTTGGGTTGATTTTGGGGTAATTTGGGGGTAATTTGGGTTGATTTTGGGGTAATTTGGATTGATTCTGGGGTAATTTGGGTTGATTTTGGAGGTAATTTGGGGTGATTCTAGGGGTAACTTGGGTTGATTTTGGGGGTAATTTGGGTTAATTTTAGGGAAATTTGGGGTGATTTGGGGGTAATTTGGGTTGATTTGGTGGTAATTTGGGTTGATTTGGTGGTAATTTGGGTTGATTTGGGGGTAATTTGGGTTGATTTGGGGGTAATTTGGGTTGATTGGAGGTAATTTTGGGGTAATTTGGGGTGATTTGGGGGTAATCTGGGTTGATTTGGGGGTAAATTGGGGGTAAATTTGGGTTGATTCTGGGGTAATTTGGGTTGATTCTGGGGTAATTTGGGGTAATTTGGGTTGATTTGGGGGTGATTTGGGGTGATTCTGGGGTAATTTGGGGTGATTTTGGGGTAATTTGGGGTGATTTAGGGGTAATTTGGGGGTAATTTGGGTTGATTTTGGGGTAATTGGGGCCGATTTGAGGGTAATTTGGGTTGATTTGGGGGTAATTTGGCGTGATTTTGTGGTAACTGGGATTGATTTTGGGGTAATTTGGGTTGATTTTGGGGTAATTTGGGGTGATCCTGGGGTAATTTTGGGATAATTTGGGGTGATTCTGGGGTAACTGGGATTGATTCTGAGGTAATTTGGGTTGATTTTGGGGTAATTTGGGTTGATTTTGGGGTAATTTGGGCCGATTTTGGGGTAATTTGGGTTGATGTGGGGGTAATTTGGGTTGATTTTGGGGTAACTGGGATTGATTCTGGGGTAATTTGGGTTGATTTTGGGGTAATTTGGGTTGATTTGGGGGTAATTTGGGGCGATTTGGGGGTAATTTGGGGCAATTTCGGAGTAACTCGGAGTGTTTTTGGGGTTATTTGGGGTGATTTGGGGGTAATTTGGGGGTAATTTGGGCCGATTTTGGGGTAATTTGGGTTGATTCTGGGGTAATTTGGGGTGATTTTGTGGTAATTGGGATTGATTTTGTGGTAACTGGGATTGATTCTGGAGTAATTTGGGGTGATTTTGGGGTAATTTGGGTCGATTTGGGGGTAACTTGGGTTGATTTTGGGGTAATTGGGGCCGATTTCAGGGTAATTCGGGTCGATTCGGGGTGATTCGGGGGTAATTTGGGTCGATTTGGGAGTAATTGGGGCCGATTTCGGGGTAATTTGGGTGGATTTGGGGGTAATTGGGGCTGATTTCAGGGTAATTCGGGTCGATTCGGGGGTCTCACCCTGCGGAACTCGTCTCCCTCGTCGTCCTGTGGGGAGGCAGCAGCGTGGGGGGAGGGTCCCGGTGACAGGGTGGGCTCGGGGTCGGCGCCGGGCGTGGCCTGGGCGGGCGTGGCCGGGGCGGGCGTGGCCGGGGCGGGGCCGCCCAGGCTGAGGCCCAGCTGGGAGCTGAGCTCGGACTGGTCGATGGTGGTGAGGGCCCCCCCCGGGCCCAGCAGCCCCCCCGGGCTCAGGGCGCCCATGGGCACCTCGATGGTCACCGGGGGGGCCGCCCCGAACTGCGACGCCATCGGGTGCTCCAGCTCCTGGGGGGGGACACGGTCCTGTCAGACCTCATGGCCAACCCTGTCACCCCAGGGTCAGCCCACTGTCACCCCAGGGTCCCCAGAGCCAGCCCTGTCACCCCACTGTCACCCCAGGGTCCCCTCAGTGTCCCCAGAGCCAGCCCTGTCACACCCACTGTCACCCCAGGGTCCCCAGAGCCACCCTCAGAGCACCCACTGTCACCTCAGTGTCCCCAGAGCCAGCCCTGTCACACCCACTGTCACCCCAGTGTCCCCAGAGCCACCCTCAGAGCACCCAGTGTCACCCCAGTGTCCCCAGAGCCATCCCTGTCACACCCCACTGTCACCCCAGGGTCCCCAGAGCCATCCCTGTCACTCCCACTGTCACCCCAGTGTCCCCAGAGCCACCCTCAGAGCACCCAGTGTCACCCCAGGGTCCCCAGAGCCATCCCTGTCACCCCACTGTCACCCCAGGGTCACCCCAGGGTCCCCAGAGCCATCCCTGTCACCCCCACTGTCACCCTCAGTGTCCCCAGAGCCACCCTCAGTGTCCCCAGAGCCATCCCTGTCACCCCCACTGTCACCCCAGGGTCCCCTCAGTGTCCCCACAGCCATCCCCGTCACCCCCACTGTCCCCTCAGTGTCCCCATGGCCATCCCTGTCACCCCCACTGTCCACCCCAAGGTCCCCAGAGCCATCCTGTC